ATAAGTAATGAATCTCAACATTTTATACGTAATTGAAAATAGAAATAATTGTCGATTGTTTTAAACAATTATTTACGCTACTCACACGCATCGCGGAAACAATGTGCAATGTTTACTTTGTTTAATTTGGTCTCTTGTTGGCACATTATATGGAATTAGCTGAACACGTGGCTCGGTGACCTCCCCAAAATCCACCATTGCATTCCTGGATTAAAGCTATTTCCATTACATAGTGGTGTAATGAGTGGAAACGGGATGATATAATCCAGATGCCTGACTTTAACTTCGCAGATCAAAATTGCACTCTGTTTATTTTTATATATACATTTTATTATTTTATGTAGTTGAATCCACCTTTTCAGTTTTGTACAACGTACGTCATCTGCTTTCGGCTGAAAAAATATTTATTATAAATAACAAACGCGTATATTAGTTTCATATACAAACTTAAAAATCTTATATATAACATTATCTAATTTATTAGATACAACTTGTAAACATTGAGATATTAAAACATAAAAACATAATTTACCAACAATAAAAAGAATAAATAATTCCATCGTGTATATGTAAGAACGTAAAATGCACTACTTCAATTTCATACTTTGAACCTTGAGTAGTTTCCTTAATAAAATGAACTTACATTTCAAATAAAAGAAAATATGATACTCTCGTTGAAATTGCATTTGGTGAAAACTATGGCAATCTAAACAAACCTGGCGGCAAATCATTAACACGGTGTTCCATTAAGTGTATCTGAACTAGAAATTGCAAAATATCTAAATCGTTTCAACGAGTTCCATGTATTTCTCTTAAGTTCATTATACAAATAATTGTAATAGTATGTATTTATTTATGAACATTAAATAATATTAATATACACAATCTAAATATGTATTTATAGATATTTAAGAATAAAAAAAAATTATGTGTTGCATTTATGAATATAAATATATGCAATGAGTTATAGGTCGCAGTCTTTTCGCCCCAAATACAAATATTATAAGTGTCCATTAAAAAGTAATGGATAGTATTACTATTATATTTGATATATTAATATTTTTTATTGATATTCTAAATAATTTTCATTAATAATTAGCTTTCAAAATGATATAAAGGAAATGTGCATAAAAAAGTATTGTTTATTGTGTTCGTGTGGCTGTGTGTATGACATGTACAATTATCGTAGCTAGTTCAATTTCATTTTTATCAATCATTTTAAATTCCAATTTAAATGAAGAAGAACTTATGTCGTTCTTTATTAGATCTGCTCATTCTAAATGATAAATATTAAAATTGATGAACAGGATTTAAATAATTCAGTAAAATAATTTAACTTTTAGATTAAACATGTTCAACGTCTCATAATTTGAAATGCTTCATTATTTGTACCAAAAAAAAAACAATTGTTGCATAAATAAATAACAAAAAATGTATTTATAAAATCATAATTAAATAAAAATAATTAATTGTTGGCCATGCGTGTTTCATCTTTCATATAATTATTATTTATACAGTGGAACGTCGTTTTATACATAGATTGAAAACATATAAATTAAAATGTTATTAACTTCAATCTTCTTAGTTCCTATTCACCTAACGCAAGTTTTTCTGAAATCAAACATATGTTATATGTTTGATTTCAGAAAAACTCAGACTTGGATGATTATGACAAAATAATAGACTTCCAGAAGATAAAACAAACTTAAATAGAGCTGCATCTAAACTGAAAAGAATCCCTCCTATACGAAAAGACGACGGAAACTGGGCAAGAACATCACGTGAGAAATGTTCGCAGATTTTAGAACAATCTTTAAATAAGTTGAAGCTTATTTATCTTCTCCGTTTCAAATGTCAATGCCAATAAAACCAATAAGCCCAAAGGAAATTAAAACATATATTAATAGTCAAATAAAGCCAAAAAAGACGCCTGGCTATGACTTAATAAAGGGGAAACTATTGAAAGAAATCTCATTGAAAGGAATTGTTTTGATCGCTCAAATATCTAATACTATACTACGTACAAGTTACTTTCCAGCGCAGTGGAAAGTCGCACAAATTATAATAATAGCTAAACCAGGAAAACCTGCCGAAGAAATCAAGTCGTACAGACCCATAAGTCTTCTACAGATATTATCAAAAGTTTTCGAAAAACTTCTTGCTAACCGATTGGAACCTATTATAGCGTCAAACAAGCTGATACCAGACCATCAGTTTGGCTTTAGTTGCAAACACGGTACAATAGAGCAAGTAAACAGAATAGTAAATACCATCTACCAAGACCTGGAAAGTAAAAGATACTGCTCGGCTGCCTTTTTAGACATATCGCAAGCTTTTGACAAAGTTTGGCATCTCGGACTACTTGTTGTAGTCCGAGATGCCGAGAAGAACTTTCCATATAATTATTTTAAAATAATAAAATCATACCTCGATAATAAAATGTTTCAGGTAAAAATAGAAGACGAATACACCGATTTATACCCAATAGAATCGGGGGTGCCACAGGGAAGTGTTTTAGGACCACTGCTTTACCTCTATACACGGCAGATATTCCTAAAAATAACAATACTACAATTGCAACATTTACTGATGACACAGTAATCTTGGCATCAGATGAGAACCCAGCAGTAGCATCCGAATATCTACAGGAAAATTTAGATAAGCTACAAGAATGGCTTAAAAAATGGAGAATAACAGTTAAAGAAATGAAATCCGTGCATATTATATTCACGCTAAAGATAGACACCTGCCCAACTGTAAGACATAATGGACAAGATCAGCCCAAAGCAACAAAAGTCAAATATCTAGGCATGCACCAAGACAGAAGACTCACCTGGAAAGATCACATTCAGGCTAAGAGGGAGCAATTAGAAATAAAGTTTAGAAAACTATACTGGCTTCTATCAGTGGAAAATAAATTTCTTATATACAAAGTAACACTGAAACCAATATGGACGTATTGTCGTGGCCGACCAATTTATTGTCATCCATTGTATAACTAATATGTATATTTGTTAGAGCCTCTTAATTATTAAAAATCATATTTAACGTATCAATCAAATATAAAAACGGATACTTGTACGTGATTATTTAGAATAACTTGTGGAATATTCCGAACGACGGTTACACATTAAATCGTATAGTTGCGTCTATTTGTATCACCACTTAACAGGATCATAAAACTTAGATAAAGAAACGGTTGTGGTTTCGACAAGGTCAAACCCTTTTCTCCCACGCAGCCCCTTTTTGAAATGAACACATTTTTGTATTATATAATTTAGTCTTAGCTAAGTGGTCGAACTGAGAGGAAGTCTTAGTTAGCAGACCGAATAAGAAGGAAGACTTACTTGGAAGAGACCAAGGAAGAGCACTTACTTCAAAAATACTAACTTAAGAGGAAAATGTAACTCTTAGTTAATAATACCTGAGATCAACTATTGTATAGTTGACTTTTCAATAAAACTCCGATGTGTATAATAAAAGTAATTAAAAAGAATATTGCATTTAATATTCATAACGCAACGACATAACTACGAGATAATCCACGGTGTCCAAGGATTTCTTAATCCCGGGACACGACAGTATGGTATTCTATTGTGAGGTGTGGCCAGTAAATCGAACAATCAAATTATACAATGTTTCAAGCAAAATGCCTAAGAAATATTTGGGCTCCATGGTTCGTCAGGAATAAACAAATACACGAAGATCTTCATATAAATATGGTCGAGGATACAATAGCAACATAAATGATAGACTGGAGTCACATACTAATGTTCTGGCTATTGGTCTACTCGACAACAGTGAAACCACAAACAGGCTGAAGCGTTCGAAATCACTAGATTTAGTATATAGATTTAAGTAATTATTAATGTTCAAATCATCTTATTGGTAACTATCCAACGGGAAAGATTATCCATCTATTGTCAACCGCGATCTTAAATTTATTCAATGTTCACATTGATGACGACAGAAAAAAAAAAGTTCCTATTACAATTTAATATTCTAATAAAATTGTAAAAGTTGGTGCAAATAAAAGTTTTTATTAAGTAAATATTTAACTTTGCTAATAATGTCAATAATTTGAGTTGGAAGAAATGTTAATATTGTTATGGACAATAAACGTTATTAAACATATAAAATATATATGATAAAACAGTAGTTTATAAATTGTCAACTACTTAAAATATGCAAGAAACTACAATTTTATGTTTTATGCGTAATTTAAGCAAATTATAGTTTTAATTTATGGGAATGGAACTGCTAAATTAGCATCCTATTAGTTCCAATTGGAATATTTAAATTTTCGAAAAATAAAAACTTTTACGGAAATAAATCCATGTAATAAATATATGTGAGTATATATAGTTACAATATAATAAACAAAGCATTAAATTTGGATTAAAATGCATGAAGTATAAGTTTATGAACTACAAAAAAAATCATAACCAAGTTAACAGTATATTCAAATATATTGTTAATGTACGTCTCAAATTATGCAAACATGTAATGTTTTGATTCACGTTTCGCCGAGTACTTAAAACGTTCAAACAAAACAACAGGAAATGAATATTTAATAAACATGCAATTAGTGGTGCCGGCTTCTCTGTTGTTGTTCACGAGTAAGTCAACGATGTTGTTTTTTTTTCTATCTGTATATATAAGCCCGGTTCCTCTTTTGTTTTTGGACAGCATTGGTTTACGACACCCAAGGGGCTAGGAATCGCGTGTCGCGTGAAAGAAGTTGATGCTCGTGTGCGAGCAGGACTCACCGTTCGTATTCCATGATCCGATTGCTTGACTCACTGATAATCAATTGTAGATAGTGTTTTCAAATCGATCAATTCGAATTGGAACGACGCACCGCCCGCACACGCACTCAGCTGAGCAAGTTTGACAACTGAACGGACGCACGGATGCCAACGTAAAGCGCTCAATGCACCGGCGACGAGTAACGTGAATCTGGGGGAATTCATCCTTACGAGTGTGGCCCGATCGATAGTGATCGTATTGGCTGGGTGTTGCACGCACACACACTGTCTGCAATGTTTAGATTCCACACTTGACAAAGGGTTTCTGTTGTTTGTTGTTTGTTATATTTGTTTCCGCGTTTTTCTATGCAACTCTTCCCCCAAAACAGAATAATATTTCCCTAGTGTCTACGAGTACAATGCTAAACTATGTATGTTAAAAAAAGCCTCTACTACTTCTACTACATTTACATCTTTCCTCTCAATGTTTTCACCACAGGTATAATTAATAATTTTGTATATTTCAAGTTTGCCGTCGACGCGATTTAATACTGAGCGAATGTCAAGTGATGGTTACTGTGTTTCAGCTGGAACGCCAGTCAAATTGAAGCAATATTTAATTGATGTTGGTAAGAATTTAACATTGCCATGTCCAGTGCTGAAAAGCAGGGATGTCATGTGGATCCGCGACGGCAGGAGCGAGGATGAGCAGGCGCCGAGATTGAGTATACAGGAGGATGGATCTCTGTTCCTCCAGGAAGTCGACAAGAATGATTCGGGGATTTACACCTGCACCCCTTCGAATTCGCTTAACGAGGAGCAGAGCTCCAAAATGAAAGTAATCGTCAGAAGTAAGTAATTGTTTTTGCTACTGCTTTTGAATTTTATTATCCAATCACAAAGAATGAACATGAAATAAAACGTAATTGGCAATTGCTTCCTGCTTTGCTACATAAGAGATTGAGATTCAAGGCTGGCATTTGCATAACAAACAAATTAAAGCCGGGCAATTTACTTGGCAGCGCCTCCGCCTCCCCTCATCGATGTACAAGTGCACCAGAGCACGATTTTGGCTGTTATACTTTGGGGTGTCAGCGGCACAGGAGGATACCCCATCATCTACTTCACTGCCCAGTTCAGGTTGGCCGACTCAGACTCCGAATGGCTCGACATTACTCCCATCCACATACCACCGAATGCGGTAATTCATTGCAGATCTCTTATTGCTCTTTCAACAGAGTAGGTTTAATTAATTTGCGATTTGAACGCACATGCTATTTAAGCGCCAAATCGATGTCTACAAGCTGGAGGCAAATACGACGTACGCGTTCCGAGTTTGGGCTACCAATCATTTAGGGAACAGCGAAATCACAGTCGTTTATTCCACCACGAAAGTATCAAACGAAACGGCCGGTAAGTGTCATCAAAATACTCATAATTACATACTTATCAAGATACAGTGGAACCTCACTTAACGAGTTTAATCCATTTCAAAACTTCTGGATTTTTACTTGTATAGTGAAATACTCGTATAGTGAAACATATTAAAAATTACACATATGTGTACAAGTTTTAAAAATGATGTAACAGGCGCGCAATCCGGGACTTCTCTTCTCATCGTCACTTGTTATGCGAAACGTCGCTCGTTAAGCGAGTCATTTTTCTTACAATTCATTTTGCTCGTTAAGCGAAATGCTCGTTATGTGAGGTGCTCGTTAAGCGAGGTTCCACTATATATATATAGTCAACAACTTGCGTCATCATACACGTAAAGGACGTACAATTTGGGATATAAATATTAATTTACAGCTTACGTTACTTAAATTAAATCCGGCTAGACACTACGTGACAATTGCTACTAAAGTTATTTAAAAAAATGGCATATGTACTTGTATTAATAAAAAAAAATACTTGGAATGTGTCGCGTAATGAATGTCTTTACGCTATAAAATTAGCAACATATTTTTCGATCGAAACGTTTTTCTTTTAATTTCCACCAGAAATAAATCTTATATAAATAATATATTTAGTATACTGACATGTTTAGTAATATTTATAACGTAATGGTTAATGTTATCGCTTGCTTTTATTATCCTGTTAATTGATCATTAACAAAATCAACGAAATATTTATATTCTTTAAGTTTTATGCAGTGGTAAAACTATAATTGCACCGGACTCCTAAATGCTGGTGCCATCTAATTTTAATTGATCTGAGTTCTCGAAAATTTAATTTGCTTTGGCCTTATGAAACCATACCTATTTCAAAATTTATGGACTTGAATATTATTTTGCGAAGAGAACAAAGATTTGAAGTTATACAATGTATTTCAAGTAAATTGTAAATAAAGTACAAATGTAAAAAAAATATAAGAATAACTCTCCCGCGTAGAAAGCGTAATTATCTTTTTTTTTATCTACAGCCCTATTTCTGGATTCCTTATCGACCCTAAGCGACTCGAACAAGGTTATTCCAACGAAATACGTAGACATTTGTAAAATTCTTTATTCTATCGTTTAGTAGATTCATTCCAGAAACATTTTAACCTTGGTTAATTTGAGTTGATTAGCTTGAAGTGCCGTTGGCGTGAAAATCTCTGCGACAAGTGGTAAATAATCATAAGCCTTTGTGATACTTGTACATACTTGAGGATAGAAACGAGTTGGCAGTGGTTATTATAAAACACAGAAAGATTTATAAAAAAAGCATACTCTAAGTACCAGAATATTTAATCTATCTATTAAAATACATCAAATTCAAAGTTTCAAATTATAAATTAACTAAAAATTGAAAAATCTCAATAATTGCATTATTTTTTTTATCATTGATTAATCAAATTCTTTCTAAATAAGAAAGACCTATGGTCAAAAGCCCTTTGAATCAGTTGACTTTTTTTGAAATTATATATATTTATTTTGTTCTTTTTATTTCTGTATANTTTTTTGTACGACTGATGCAATAAACATTATTATTATTATTTTGTATGTACAATTTTAAAAAGTACATATTCAACCTTTTTACACTTAAATAATTGATTACTTTACGTTAATTAGATGATGGTTTATTTAGAAAAAATAAAAAGGTTAATTTAATTAAATATGCGTGGCCTTAAACTAATTTTAAATAGATAACACAAAATGTCAGAGTTGAATGATTTGTTGAATATGTTTTATTAATACGGTATCTTAACGGTATTTACAAGAAACTGGAATTCTAATTCTCTAATGGTTTTTGGTATTTTCGGTGGTAATGATTCTTTGAAATGTTAAGATGATGATGTATGATGATTTCTTTTTGGTGGCTATATATAAAAATATTTGCGATGAAGGATGGATTTTAATTTGTTTTTATCGCTTTTTTTTCTTTCTTTTTTGAATATTTCAAGATGAAGATAGTTTAAGACTTAGAGGTACGTTTAGCAACAAAAGAATAAATAATAACACTAAAAAGACATTAAATACAAGATCTATAATAATTTTCCTAAATAAAACCAACGTTGACCCTTTCGTTGGCGCTCAATAATTCATGCTTTGGCCACTAGTCGATAACAATTCATGAGATCTCCAATGAAAGGATCAATGATTTGTCTGTGTATCGTTTTAGTGAACTAACATTAGAGACGCAACTTTAGCTTTAGTTCTGTCCTACTTATCTATTCTTTGTTTAAGTGTTCCTTTTTCTCTGATTGGATCAAAATTGAATTCCACATCTACAAAAAAAAATATACAAAACTCGATAATTCATTATTACAAATACGCGTATTCTTGGAAACCACTTCAATTTCATTATTGCAAATTCATTCATACTTGGAAACTACTCCAATTTCATTATTCAAAGTTGTATCATGACTACCATGCAAAAGCTTTTAAAAATATGCATATCATCATGTATGCATCATTGCTTATTCAATAGAATTACAGATAATAAAACTTACGAAATAATCTGATTATTAAATTAAACTTGCATGTGTTACACATCTTTCAAATATTCATGAATTTACTATACTATAAAACATGTTTAATATCTCGCGAGAAATATATATATAACATTTGAAACGATACGAAATAAAAGTTTTTTTATGAAATAAAAATATAAGTGGTCAATATTTCTTCTAAATGATCTTTATTTTTAGCACAATTTGAAGTCCTTAATCTGTTTAACGTAATGTTTTATAGATTTTGTTTTTAATGTGATTATCGAGTTTTTCTTTTTTTAACTCTAAATGTACCATATATATCTAACTTTTCCATCAGCCAATTATTTAGAATTTAGATTCCCCCAGTTTGATTGTTGTTTGTGTGTAGTAGCTACAAAAGTTGCCTTTTGTTATTTCTCTGTCTCTCTCTTCCAAACAACAACTCGATTTAGAATTGGAGAGGCATTTTTTGCAAGGTGTAAAGAATTTCGACACTCGTATATGGGTGGTTGCCGTGGGCGTAGTCATGGGCACATTGGTCGTTCTGGGATTCGGAACTTGTTTCCTTTTGTACCAAGAGTGCCGAGCACCTAGCGGTAAGTTGTAGCTTTATGTAAGTTGTTATCGAACAATTATTGTTGAATGGCCTATGGTGATAGTGGAAACCAATCGGTTGTGTGTTCTTTAACAAAAAGAAAACCAATATTAGACTGGTTCCATTCCACTATTTCCATCGAGGCTTTTAGCGAGTCGTTTGTAGTCCTATTGTTTGCTTTTACATGTTTGTGATGTATCGTTATGTTTTTTTTGTGTGTATTATAGTGCAGGCCTGTGTATTCCTCAGTGAAGCAGTATCAAACGGAACTAGTTTAAAATTAGATCGAAATATAGATTTCTCTGTTGACGCTTCTTCACCGGCGAATCCGCATGTGCCTATTGTAGATAGCGGACAAATAGTTTTTATTAAAAATTATTTACAATAATTTGATTTAAGAACGAAATGTTTAAAGTTGCTGCATATTCTATATACTGTGATATTGATTGTTTGATTAGTGTTATTTTTTTTTGTTTAGCCTCGAAAACCGGAAATGCACTTAGTCTAATTGATTTTTTAATGAGATTTGCGGTGCATAACATACTGTTTTTATTTTCTCACCTGACAATAGTAAATTGACCTTAAAAATGTTAGTACACATGCTTACATTTCTATCGGTCCACGAGATGACGTATTGGTATTTTATGACTTAAATTTCTGGATAGGGTTGCCATGTTTGAAAATTATTAACTAGGACAACGAGACGTTGCAATGATTAGCTAATTATTATTATTTTTTTAAATCACGGACGCCGATCTAAATCTCTCCCGGACGTTCCCGGAAGCATAAAAAATGTACATGTCGGGGAAAACCCTCCTACTCGACTGAGATTAAATTGCAGGTAACAAACTAATATAAAAAATGATTCAATGTCTTATGCTATTCATTTGACAACTTGTTCGAATGAAATTATTTTGTTGAATAACTTGTCAAGTATAGGAGGTAGTCTTGGAAGCTACGCACAAAAATATAGTTTTGCTAATACTTGACAAGTATCTCGTTTTATATCAATAATTATCAAAGTGCATTTTCGGTTTCTGAAATAAGCATGTTTAGTACAAATAAGTAACTGCTTACTTTAATTTGTTTTCTCTTTTGTTGTTGATGTATGCATGTTTTAATAATTAAACTGTTATAAGTAAATCATTCGTTTTTTTTTCTTTAATCTTTATTTATTTTTTATATAAATGCAAGATCTGCGAATGCGTGTAAAAAATCTATGTTTAACATGTCGAATGCCATCACTGCCAGAAACGCAAAAACAATAATTTAACCTATTTCCCATACGAGAAGATTGTTTCAAGTTGGGGTTATGTGTTCAAGAATCCGATGACCAGGAGGTCATCGAGCTTGTGCCGAACATAATACTGAATCCCGGCTTCGATGGTGACCACACCGAGCGCTTCCCATCCGACGAGAACAGCAACAACGAGAGGACGACGAGGCTGAACAACAACACCGTCGTTCATCCGCCGCCCAGTATGAATCTCTAGTTAATGCTGAAACGGGTCTTTGAAAATTTGGAGTTCGTCCGCGTCAAACGCTCCAAATTTTCAAAGTCCTACGATCACTGATTCTGCTGTAGGTAACGAAAAATCACCATATATGATACACACACTCTCATCCTCGAAACCCGCACGCCTCGACAGAAAAGCAATATTCTTAAAGTAAAGTAAAAAAAAAAGAACCGATCTGAACTCTCAGTGCGAATGGCTTCCAAGACGGGGACTCTCGATACTAGGAGAAAAGAAAATGTGCCTCGTCTTTACTCGTAACGTGTTTTTATTTTGTTGTTTGTTTATTAAACGCATTTTACTAGATTTAATGAAATATATAAAAAAAAAGACACTCGTAGAGTTGTGATACTAAAACTAAACAAATCAAGGTTTCGTTTTTTGGCAATCAAGCGACGAAAAATTTCGGAGAATATATAAATATAAATAAACCTTGTGTTCACTAAATAGTTACTGATAACTTAATAATGTTTAAAGAAACAGAGGTTGTATCATTTGAATTGTGCCTGAAATGAAAGAAGAATATAAATTTTAAATAAATTTAGAAAGCGGACTTAGGCATTGTTGTAGCTCAAATGGAAGAAAAATGAAAATTTTGAATAATTAAGTACATAATTATGAACGGATGAATACAAAAAAAAACTATATATTATATATATTTAAAGAACGCGCTTTTTACGTGCAAATAATTTTTATATAAATAAATATTCGAAAATGATGAAAAAGAACCCGAGGAGAGATTATAATAAGATAGCATTGGTTGAGTTGATTTTTTTTCTTTGTACGAGATGTGCTGCGGAAATTTTTACAGTGCCTAAAGTAATAGTTGACTATTGTTAAGGAAACTTGAGCGAGGTTAAGGGCTAGTCAAATACGGACGTGTCCCACCAATTATTATATTATAAGCTTAATACCAAATAACGTGGTTATCATTTCAAAAGCACCAACAACAAAAAAATGCTACAGTCATTACACTGAACACACACATATAGACTGATCAATTGATTCAATAAATTAAGTTCTTATGCGAATTCTCGTCCGACAGATCTTTTGGTAATATTCAATTTTAATCGAGGCCTCTATAACTATACGATGAAATGAAAAAGACATTTTTTTTTAAATTCAAAAGACTGTTTTTGTCGTTATTGTTGTTGAATAATACCAATGAAGGCTGAATTAAAAATGGACACTACTTGAAACTTATTGTTATGTTGTTTTTTTTTGTACGGACAATGTGATTTCTAATGCAAGAAAAAAAAAACTATGTTTTATACCGATATAACTAACATTTAAACGAGGCAGATGGAGTAAGAAAATCTAATGTTAATACGATATCGTGTTTGTAATTTGTCATATCTGAAAAAATGAAAATGAGAAGAAAACAAATTGTAATTTTTTTATATGAAACAAATTCATTTTATATTGTGAACGCGGTGATATATTTATATATGTGTATGGAAAATATCTAGATTATTATATTAGAAATTAAGGCTTTTTGTAACCGTTTTTACATACAATTGTTTCGTGTATCCGTGGAAAATATATATATATATATTATGGGAGGAAAGCTTTGCTTTGCGCCTGAGACATAAAATGATAATTAAAAGCTTCGTTTAGTGGATCGTGTTAACTAATTAATTAAAAAAAGCGTATTAATTAATTAGGTTCCCACACACAAAAAATAAATGACACATACATTAGAAAAAAAAGGATTTGCTTCTTACTGTTTATCTGTTACGATTTATATTAATTTTTACTTATCACCGAAACAATGATCTCAACAGACGGAACTAAATTAGTGATATGCTATTTTTCTAGAGCTGTAATGTACAAACAATACGAATCAATAAAAGTAAACACCATATTTCTAATGTTAACTGAACTAGTCGCCTGTTTTAGCATTTCGTTTTCTTTATGTATATATTATTTATATATTATTGTTGAACCAGACTACGATTTGTAACATTTTATTTTACCAATGAAATTATTGTATATGATCATTTTTCACAAAACAAAATAAATACAGAGCTATTAGCAAAATTTGCATTTGGTTTTAAATTTTATTTCTTACTTTTTATCCTAACATTTTTTTGTTGTAGTGACAAGTCATATCTATTGCCTAATATTTAATAATAATAAAAATATTTATTTGTCACCAATTGTAACCAAAGGGCTATCGACCTAATATTTAATTATTTCCAATATCTAAATAATCTAAAAAAAACAAAAATAAGTTTTAAGGAAAATGTTATGTATTTATTTAAATATTCAGTAATAAATTAGAATTAAAGAAATGTACACATACAGTAAAACCTGTTTTTGTGCGAGATACATGAGAAAGTGCATCCAAACGCAGTAAATAATTAAATTACACATGAAAACGTTTTAAAAACATTTAATTTCTCATTGTACATATGCAGAAATTTTCAAAATGCACATACATAATTCACTGCTACACGTGTTAATCCAAAACGCGCTGATGCATATCTACTTCGTTGTATGATGATCATGATTAAGTTATTAAGCATTTTGATTGACATCAATAGATATTTCATTTATAATTATACAAAGCACACGTCACGTCATATCGATAAATGCCAATTCCTACTTCTGACAGATGTATATTTATTATTATATAAAAATAATTGTTATTGAAATAATTTTCTTCCTTCAATTTACCTTTTCGCTAATTGATTTGGATGTTGGCCCTGAAAGCGTTATAAATCTATTTAACAATAATAACTAAAAGATTATACTTAATAAAATTATCCTTTAGTCCTAAATGGGCCAATAAATATTGTTAAATAAATAAAATAATAAAATTACGGAATGAAATAATGTTATAATTTCAGACTTTTTCAGAAACTGAAATTGTGAATAGAAAATCTTATAATGTCAAAAAGTTATAATCGAGAACCTTATAGGACAAATCATCCGGCCACTACGGCAGAAAGTAGTTTGATAATAAATAACTATGGACTGAAGTCTATCCATCATGGGAAGAAGCAATGAAGGTGCAAAGCTACAAATAAGCACAGGAAACGATACAGCATAGGAGAGCAATAAGGATTTGCAACACGTATTGATAAACTCCAGAGCCGTTGTACTGCGTTGTAATAGCTTGCATAGCAATAGAACTCCTAGCTAGAGAGAATTGTGAGATAGAGAACTAGACTACTTGAAAAAGGAGACAGCTCGGATCAATGATATTTGACGCTTAATACCAGAAATGAAAAGCCCTGGTAACCAAAAAGCAGTGAAACAACTTTTCATCAAATCCTGGTGCTTTCTGGACATGGATGCTTCGGTAAATATATTTGGATTTTAGTGCCTGAATTACATGGAACAATTAAAAGGGTAACACATAATGAATAACGATAACAGAGTGTAAGATATTAAGAATAAATACCGAGTACTTTATTTATAGATTTTTATTTTTCTTTATTTCACATTTATCATAAATAGACATATATCTAAATCTAATATCTACATTCTTCTATATTTCATTTTTCAAAGCATATTCGATGTCTTTGGCATGTTTTTTTTGCTAAATCTATAAGTTAACGTTATATTACAATGTAAAATCCATTGTATTATAACGTTGTAGATATGATGTGTGACGTTCAGATACATCTTCTTCAAGTTGACATTCTTCATAATACTACGCTATTTCTTTAGACCTAAGAGTACAAGTACATACATATATTTTTTAGACATCACTATACATTAAGACACTGTTTGTACTAAAAGCACTCTATGTTCCCATATATCTTTTTTGTATCTAAAGCAACACATACATAAAATGCTGACAGTTAATATGAAATTATAAATAAATACAGTATACATATCAGACCTGATTTTCAATCAGAACAATGGCAATAAAGAAATTCATAAAATTATAAATACTGGTTGGTAATACATTTACCTTTTTTAAACGATCTCAACTTCCTCGACTGGGTAGTGCATTTTGCAGATTTTGTTAACGATTTCGTTGTTGTCATTGCAAATGTCGTTCAACAGCAAGGCGTACTCCTTGGAGTTCTTTCCGTACTTCACCTTGGTGATCTCGGCGCATTTATTGCGGTACATAATAGCAGCCAAGTATTGACCTGGAAACAGCGTTATTAGCAATTATTGGACTGCAGATGTGGAGATGCTCACCTTGTTTTTTCAGCAGTTTTGCAACGGCCTTGCAGGTATCGAAGATGAACTCGTGGGTCCAAGCCAACCTCGGCCAAAATGCGACGTAGTGATCGATGTTGTCGAGGGTGGTCAAAGGATACATGCATGGTATAGTCTCCAGAAGTGCGGTAGTAATGGATGGTCGATTGCATTCATTACATGTCCCTTGATCTTCGGCCAGTATGTTACCGCAAATGCATACCACGTGATTGTAAACCATTTTCTAGAAAAGCTCATTTGTTACCGTTCCCTCCCCCATACTCTTATGAAACACGTACAAATTCCTTGCTGGGATCCAAGCAGATCTCGCAAAGGCACTCGAAAAGATTGCGGTCCAAGATCGCATGTTTCCTTTCAACTCTATCTGTAAACCTATGATCCATACCGTAGCAATTGAATACCTGATTACCTTTAGGAATATCTTCCACAGCTTTAACAATGGCCACATCGTTTATGTAACTGAAAAATAAATAATGAAAATTAGAATAAAATGATAATAATACCAAAACTTCAGAACCACATCATGAAATTTTATCCAAAAAATATCAATTATGATATTTATAATATTAAAAATACAATCGCTTTGCTAGTTTCAAAAATGTGCAAAAAATAAATATTAAGGTCACCCAATAACGTAGTAGAGGATGATGTTAACAACATCCTATTTTAAAGTTTACGTCTTACATACTATGTTCACTTACAAGATATTTGTGTTTGGCTGGCAAGAATGATTCATCATGCTAATGGAAGGATAGACCCCAGCCCCATAATAGCTTTGAAACATCATCAAGTCTACAATATCCATGCTCTTCTTGACGCTCGATGGTAGAAGTGTTTTATCGTTCAAATTATACTTTAATTCATAGTTGATGATACTGCTGGAATTAAGGTAAATTTGCATGAGATGTCGTGTCAATAAGCCACCTATAAAATCAATAGCATCCGGTCTATCCAATTTCATTTCCAAATCTTGAAAAAACGATGTTTTTTCCTTCAAGTGCAAGACGATCACAGCTGCACCCTGAAAGCAAATAGGAACAACGAACACTGCAGCCGATTGCTGATCTTTGTTATTTGCTTACAACTAAAAATTCTTTGGCTGGGCAATTGGAGGTGTTTGGTATTAAAGAATTAAAATACATGTAATTATCTTCGGCATCGCCAAACTTTTTGGTGCATTCCTCGTGATCATGATCGTAGAACTTGAAATTACTTTTGATGCCTTTCACGGCACTTTTCAATCCCAACAGAGTGCCGCCAGTGGCGTTGAACATGTGCATACCATTGCATTCGTACTTGTGGCAAGACTCCCAAGACTTATCTCTGCACTCCTCCGTGCAATAAAAACAGTACACGCATGATTTACACCTAAAAATGCAAATTGAAGTGAGTAGGGCATTTTTGCGTATGCAACGATGTACGATTATTTACGGTATCATATAGCTTCCAATTTGCAAACATTCATAACAAATAAATATAATTAAATCCTGTATTTCCCTTGGTGCAGAAACTGCCACAAAAGGTTTCTCTACAAAGAGTACATCACCTGCTTTTACATCTACAGTGGTAACAACATCTCTTTGCCAAATACCCTTGTATCTAAAATGCACAGAACCACATTAAACTGTATTCGGAATACTACTTATTCTTACTCCAATTTGACTTTGTCTGAAGCATTCAAGAACTTCTCATTATGGACTTCCGGTAAGGTAATTTTAAATTTATGATACTCTTTGGGTTTGTTAGTCTTCTGATAGCTGGTAATAATCTCAAGATCTGACAAAGTATTAGACATTTATAAACAAATTTATAATATTTACCTTTTCCTGACAATTCCATTTTTTCCTTTTCAAACTTTTCCATCATGTTCATCTGAAAATAACATTTCAGTCTCCTAATTTTATGCTCCAACTTGCATTCATTAAATGCCTCAAGCAGTTTAATATCGGCCAAACATTCCTAATAATAAAAACATAAGTACAATATATTTTTTAATGAAATTTGACTAACTTCATATAACTCAAGCATTAAAAATGCAGCCGATCTGCTGCACAATGCTTTAATATAAAGCTTACTGCCAAACTGTGCATATATAAGTGCCATGTTAAATTTCTTGAGACTTTTCTCGAAACTTCTGTTAAAGTACAGCTCCTTGCCTTTATGAATCTGATCATTAACTTTAGCAGGATTTTTCTTGGACATGTTATTGTTAGCTTGGTTCATCCAGTTCTTCAGCACTGAACTAATGTAAATTATCAATAATTACAATTAATATTAAATATTATATTGCAAAATATCTTACATGTTTCTAGCAGTAAAAAACTGCTTAAAAAGAATAAATTCGTCATCCCCTTGCATATCAGGGAATTGATCGAATATAGCGGACAAAACCAGAGAATTATTCATTTTAAACAGTCTTGTTAGAACGTACAGATGTTTGTCGACTAGACTAGATGGACCACACAACACCGGTCCGGTTAGCTGCTTGTTACTGACCAAGGTTAACACAATGCACATGAGAACGCAACCAATTTTACAGCGATTTTAATTTTGCTATTTTCTGAATGTGTTTTTAGAAATAGATTTATTAATAAACAAAGTTAAATAATAATTAATTTAAATGTAGACATATATATATATACATTAATGAAGTACATATATTTCAACATATCATAATTTATTGCATGATACAAGTAAACAGGGTAGGCCCAAGCGCATGTTGAGCGTCACCATTGCAGTAAATGAGAGGAGTGGATCATTTACTTTCTAGCATATGTGATGCGCACGCATCTTTTTTTATATACAACTTTGGTCACCGGTGACATCATGCGCGAAAGATGATGAAAATTGAACAACTATCGGGTGTACCTAGAATAATTGTATCATGAATATATTGATTTAGTCTGTTGCTGTTTCTTACTACACACATAAAATTATTGGATATTAATAGAAACTATTTAAAGTTTCCGAGTTCTTATTATGGCTTTCGAGGATCCTACACAAAAGTCAAATAAGAAAGTTTAGATGAACCAATTCATAAACATACCATTTATTTACAAGATAATCTTGTATAGGGTATAGGATAATTTTCACAATTAAATCGTTTTAAACTGTATTAAATTGGAAATGTCTGCAAGTATAGAAACTGAACATCTTCAACTACTCGTAATCATAATGTTTTTGAAATGGCATTGCAAAAAGAAGAGGAATAATACATTTCAGATTTTTATTATAATTATTATGCAAGTGTTTGTGTCTATCAAAAATTCTGATCACCACTATCAACGTATAAATACTTGTATCAGTATATATTTTGATTGTTCTTATTAATTAAGCAGAAACTACGAACTATGGCGGATTTTTCATTAAGGCAATGAGACACGTGCATCAGTCTTTGGCCCCAAGTATCCTTAATCCGCAACTGACAGTGAACATTTTTGTTAATACACTTTTTAGTAAATAAATAAAATAAATGAAAAAAAACATTTGTCAAACAGTTTGGAACATAAGTTTTTTTGCGTTTTAAATATATTTATTTAAGTTTGTAAGTTTCACTTATTGATTAACAACAGTTGTAGTCCGTAATCTATTTTGAATCTTTGCATATATCATTATGTGATTGTATGATAATTAAATAATAAATATAATCAGGGGAAGACTGTTCTTTGGGGGACTTAAGCGAACATTGTTTGGTGTTCATTTCTGAAGTAATCGTTTTGTTCCTTTTTGTGTATATTTATTAATCTTTGATAGTTTCTGGCTTATTAGTTAAATCAAGAATAAATATATTGTCCTTAAATTGTTTATGTAATTTGTTATATTCAAAATTATTGTGTTTATTTCATTCTTCCAAATTTATATTTTCTTAATATTATTAGTAAGATTTTGTGAAAATCATAACTGTTATAATCTATTAATTAATTTCTACCAAATTAACCTAATTTTTATTATAATTCCACTCTCTTCAATGGTATGAAATGAGTTTTTATAAAACAGCAAATATGACTTTTATGTGATACAAAGTATTACAGCAGCCAATCAACGGTTGTCTTTTATTTAAATTATTATAATAATTATTGTAAATTTTCAATAGTCTTCTAATATAATTCAACAAAATCAAATAAATTAATAATAATTTATTGTTATTAATAATAAAAGTGTAACACAAGGTGACTACGCTCCGAAATAATTTTAAAATGTTATTGTAATTTTTTTGATATCGTCGTGTTTATGATACAGTCGGGATTATGGTTGTCGGTATTTTAATATAGTCGGGATTATGGTTGTCGGGATTTCGATACAGTCGGGATTTCGAACGTCGGGATTTTGATACAGTCGGTATTTCAAACGTCGGTAATTTGATTGACGGTATTTCGGTTGTCGGGCTTGCGATTGCCACCGGAGTTTATAATGTATAGGCAACTAACTGTACATATAATTTTTTCTCTATAATTTTCGTTTTCATTTGCATTTATCATTGTCAATGCAAAGTGAATTCAATTTAAAGTTATTTATTTCATGTACAATGTAATTGAGATCTAATTGTAAGTACTATTTTGGTTCGTACAGAGTCAGCTGTCAATGCACATCTTCCTGCACCTGTCAGTTCGCTTTCGACCATCGTGACGGTTGGTTTGTTGTTGATCGTGCCAGTCAAAATCGGTCAAATTCAAGTGTGTTATAAACAATCGAATGGTGTCAGTGAGCGCGTAACACAGGGACATTGCGATAAATTGGCAGGTAATCTGCAGGTAAGATTAAATTTCATCATCCATTCAGAGGTCCACTACTATTTGCTCCTACTCCTCTGCCTCCTGAGACTGCCACCTTTTTATTTGCATTGTTTTGGCGTCCCGCTCGATCTCAATGCCGGACTCGATCTCGTTTTATTTATAAATTAAGCATCTGGCTCGTTTTCAATGTCTTTCTAGCTGTTATGTTTGCCTCTCGTTCTCACTCTTTGTCGCCCTTCCTTCTCATCCATGCTCGCACGTCTTGGGCGAAACCGATCGATTTTGCCTAAAAATGAACTAAGTGGAAATGTTTATACGTCGTGAATATTCTATTTAATTTAAAGCACGTAACTAAAGAGGTAGCAACCACCCTTTACTATCTTGTTTCTGGTTTCAATTGTTTATCTTGTGTTAATACAAATAACAATAAATAGAAAGAGTTGAATGACACCATTGCATTATTTATACTATTTCATAAATACCTTACGTAAGTGCATTTATTTAACTGTGTTTCCTTTGAATATTGATGGACAAACATTACTTTTTATATTTATGTTATGTAACTTATAATAATTGAAATTACTTAATTTGTTAATATGGGTATCTTCATAATTTTAACAGTTAAACATTCCTAATTTAATCATAACAATTTAATGATTTTTTGACCATAGCTCTTTCCCTCCTTTATAATTTTATTTTAGAAGTTCTAATAATAATGAGATTTATTTTAAAATTTTTCACTATAAATTAGTATGAAATTAAAACACTATTATTTACAAATGAAAACCAAAACTATACGGTTTAGTTTGTGTACTTTCATAATTGAAGTATTTGTAGTTATTAAACAATATCGTGTTAAAGTAACAACAAAAATATAACGCCCAACGTGTCAATATTTATGTGTAGCATCGAGAATGTAAAATAACATATTATCTATATTTGCTAATTTTAAAATCAGAGTATGTATGCATTTATTATTTATAATAATTTATATTTTTTTAATAAAAAATACTTTCTACATTTATAGATATTCTTGCATCTCAACTTTTTCTTTGAAATTATTATAATTTCTTAATTATTATATTATCTTGTAACCACAATCAGGACACAATTATATAATATTACAAGTGTTAATAATTAGTTGATAATAATAATAGTTGATATTGCTGATATAATATGGCTCTCAACTGTTTTGTATTATTCCTTAAAATGGTTTATTTCCACATTACTAAAAAAAATAGTTTCATGTAATATTAATAACATCAAGTTATTGATGTAATAAACTATTACTTTTTACATTAAACAGTTGCAAACAATATGTGTGTTTGGAGTAAAAAATCAAAAGGTGTTTCGGTTTTCTTTCTAAAAATGAGTTGTAGTTGATTTCTTGATATCTAAAATGCACAGATGGCATCTTCTTGAACCATTATATAACTAGACGCAGTAGGTAGTTTCCTATTATGCAATGGACAGCTGCTCGTTTTAAGAAACCTTTTGTTCGAGAGAAAAAAAATAGAATGGTAAATCTGAGATGCAGTAGCTTTAAACGCAACATAAAGAAGCAAAAGCACAACGTTCTACCTACGTTTGGTATCTTTAGGGATGGTCTAGCTTGGTGTTCAATTATTGTGCAAAATGGTAATTTCACTTATATTATTTTTTTTACTAACACTTAACTTTCATTTCTAAAATTAGGATTAAACTACTAATTTATTTTATTAAATCAATAATGGCTCTATTTTTGTAAATACTTTTCTTTAATCCCATCAGACCTGTCATCAGGGTTTAACACACCCTGAGTAATTTGTATATATTTAAATTTAAAAGTCTTTGACCTATATACGTTTCAATGTATAGTATTCGTATATATTATGTTATAGAAATGTAATTTATACATGTTATTCATTTTTTTTTATTCGAAGAGAGTACGCTTTTTAAAATTGATTCTTCTACCATACAATTGGAAAATTTAACATAATTATTCATACAATGGAATATACTGAATATTACATAACTGAAAAATGAATAACAAAGGTCTATATGAAAACTTCTCATTCTTAACAGTCACTTAATTTTAATGTACTTTGTTTTACTGAGCAAATTTTAATATTATTGTTTATTTATTTAGTTACAAAACTAAATATTACTGTTTTATAGCTTTAGAAATACTTTTGATCCATATGATGTTGTCATAGAATTATTTTAGTTATTTAACTTTTTCTTATAGATATTGTCTTGGCAACTAAGTGATTGCGGATTTTAACACATTCGGTATTAGCACATTCTTTTGTTTTGTCAACGTGTTCAAAGCACCTAACATATTGTTTTCTTGTTGTTTGGACTTCCACCTTTAATTTAGTAAAAAAAAATTGTATGGATTAGTTATTTTGTTCTGTTTTTATTCCAATTTAAAAATGGAAGAACAAGACGCGCATTTCAGACATACAGTGGAACCTCGCATAACCAGCATTTCTCTTAACGAGCAAAATGAATTGAATTATTTCCGAAAAGGCATGGCAAGCACACAAAAGGTTATGTGCCGTATATTACTTAAAATATATTGTTTTATTTTTCAGTCAATTACTTTTACATTAAACAACTCACAGTGTATGCATAAAATAATGTTTATTACTTCTATTGTATCGTGAAAATATATTGTTCGATGCTTTTAATATTATAAGAGAAATTCACCATATAACAAAAGTAAAAGGTATATATTTATAGTAGAAGGTAACCGTCAAGTTTCTTTTCCATCTGCTTTTCTCCATTTTCTTTAACCGCGATATTTCCTTACAAAGTCACTTTCAACTGAGTTAGTTTGTATAATATCGAACCAGAAATGGTTATTTATAATTGAAATATGTACGAGGAAATTTGGGATACCTTTGTTTTACTTTCATTCCCGCTGTTTAGATTTTTCTTGATTGATGGACGTGAATGAAACAAACTAAAATAGAATCTATTTTATTATTAGTTAAAAAATCTCAATTTGACCTACTTAGTTCAAATAGTTTTTCTACAGCGTAGTTTAAACGATTAGTATAACTCGTAATTTTTCACTTGTTTTGCATTACTATGTTATTTTAACTAATGACGGTAGTGTGTGCTTTTAAGACTTGCAAATTTTCATGCTATTAAACTCAATTTGGCAGATGTTATCTTTCTTACGTCAATATAATCAGCGACTCACTTAACTAAATTGACAAAGCAAATTTAACACTTACTCAGAAAAGTTTTATTTGTATTACAAATATATTTTATTTCATTTTTGTCCGTTTATGCCAGATGTTCCCAAACTTTTTTGAGTCGTAGACCCCTTGCCATGTTTTTCGGTTT